TAGTTTATCTGACAACATAATGACTTTGAGATTCATGCATACTTTTGTTAATATCAGTAGTTCTATTTTTTAGCAGAGTAGTATTCCATTGTATGTACATATCTGTTTATTTATTCAGTTTGCATTTGATAGACAAAGCTGATATGAACACATTAGTTTTGTAAAGAGGTTATCATTTCACTTGGATATATCTTAGGATTGCTGGGTGTCTTACTTTTCTCATTGCTGCAACAAAATACCTGACATCCAAAGTTAAAGGACAGAAGGTTTATTTTGGCACACAGTTTCTAGAGGTTTCAGTCCATAGTCAGCTAGCTCCAAGGCAGGGCAGCACAGCACAGAAATATGGCAGGGGAGAAACGATCCAGGTCCATGGCATAGCAGGCAGAAACAGTAGCAGCAAGCAGCCAGCCTGGCTTTCCCTTTAATTTTATCTAGACAACAAGCCTTTTGGGTGGTACCACTAACACCCAGGGTGTGGCTTCCATCTTCAGTAAATCCACTCAACCACACTCAAAACTCTCCTAATTCCAATCAGTGAACTAATTTAGTACCACACGCTTTTAATCCCTATATCACACTCCCTAGATCCAACAAGCTCAGAAAAGCCCCACCTATGAGTGTATGAGGCTTTGAGGGAACATCTAGACACAAGCCATAACATTGGAAAATGTGGTAAATATGTGTTTCATTTCACAAGTGTATTCATCAGTGCTTCCAAGAGTCAGATGTAGAAGAGCACAAAACATCCGTCTGCATACCGGAGACCCAAAGGATCTAGTCAAGGTCTTGGAGCCCACGGCAATGTCCCATGCAAGTACATATCAAGGATATGGAAAAACCCAAGGGCCAGTGGTAGAAACTAGAAAGTCTGTGCCACTAGGGTGAAGGATTTGTGCCAGAAGCTGAGAGATCTGTGCTGGAAGTCAGGAGATAACACTCAAGATGAAGAGGAGAATTGAAGCTGTCTGGAAGGAAGACAGCACCCAAAGATCCTTTGAAGCAAAACCACTGAAAGGCACCTTTTTCATGAAAATCAGCAGCATACAATCCTCCCCTCTAGTTCTCCTTTTATGTCATTCCAGAAACAACTTCAGGTGGGTCTTCCATACCCAGAACCACACTGACAGTTCAGCTGAGTGTTCCCACTGAAGTTGGCCATTAATCAATGCAACACAATAAGAAATTACTGTTTCTATCTGGCTGCACATTTTTGCATTCCTACCACAAATACATCAGTCATCTAAGTATGCTGTCTTCTCCCCACTGTATGCCATATTAGCTTTTTTAAAAATTATTTTTAGCTGTTTTAAAAGGTATGTAATGATATTTATTGCATTATGAACATTTTAATTTGCATTTTCTATTGACTAATGATATCGAACATTTCTCACGTGGTTTTTTTTGCCAAAAATATATGATATCTATGGTGAATTTCTCTTCTATATTCTGCTCTTTTATTCATTTGATTGTTTCCTTATAATGGATTGTTGAAGATAATGTACATATGTATGTATGCACACACAAATATATATGATTCGGGAATAGTTTCTTCCAGCCTATAGTTTTTCCTCAAGTTTTCTTTTCAATGTTTATTATGGTTTGGTATGTCACCCAAAGACTCACATATTGAAGGCTTGGTCCCCAATGTAGCAATATTCACAGGTGGGGTTTTTGGGAAGTGAATACTGAGACTCATCAATGGATTAATTCACTTATAGATTTGTAATTTGAGAGAATTACTAGAAAGTGGCAGAAACTTCAGAAAATCGGGCCTATTTGGAAGAAATAGGTCACTAAGCCTGTGTTCCTGAAGGGTATGTTTTATTTCTGGCCCCTTCCAACATCTTACCCATGCAATCATTATGGGAGCACCTCTGAACCACCATGCCCTCCTATTTAGGATTCTTTGTTTCATCACAGGCACATGGCAATGGAAGCAATGACAAGAGACTAAAACCCAAAAAACTGAAAAAGAAAATTAATCTTTCT